GGACAAAATTTTGGAAACAAGTTGATTTCAAAATCTCAATAAGCAGATAAAAATGCAAAATAAAACGTTCGACCATCCAGTTTTTTAGGCCATTACGTTGAGAAATTCAGAGAAATTCGGCCATTAGTTATTCTGATCAAAAATTGACAATTAATCACAAAAGCTTCCAAAGCTAACTAAACACATCGGAGATCGGAACAACTCATACGGATAACTTAAGCAATGTTGTCCATACCAAACTGTTTTTTGAATCTTAAAGAGCTATTGCATGGATATAATAATTTTTTCGTAAACTGAGGACAACTATAATTTGAAGAAAAACTAACTACATAGAGATGAAGCTGCACTTCTTATATACTAGCGTGAAACAACACATCACTCAGTAAACAAAAAAATATTCGATAGCTTGAAAGATGCGCATTTTTGGCGGGTTAGAAAATTGATTATTTAACTTCTGCCAGATATTTACTATGAAAAATCGGATATTAACCATGGCGCCTTAGAACTTACCTAAACACACATGCTTGGATAATGAGTTCAGGTAGCAAGGATTATACTTTGAGAATATGGTTATAGCTTATACTAACCATTTCAAAAAAGTTGTCTTCGAAGTGCGATGTTTGACTTAAGGGTATTCGATTCAGCCCGGTCTTTTATTATTTTAATGACGAGAAAAATGCCGCGTCTAAAGTTCAGTGCGAGGCTATGGAAAGAAAACATTTCATAGTTAAACAGCAGTATTAAGCTTAATATTGCTGACTGAAATTGTGATTTTTGTATTTTCTAATCAAGTAAATTAGTCTGAAAACACAAAAAAGTTAGACCATCACATTTAACACGTTGAGAAATTTCCATTAGTTATTCAGAGCCAAACAATGACAAATAGCAAAAAAAAAATTCCGAAGTCAACTAAGAAAAAAGCTGAGCTCGGAACATCATATATGGATAACTTAAACAATGTAATGTCCAGACCAAACTTTTTTTTCAACCAGCTATTGGATGGATACCATAATACTGTCGGAAACTGAGGTCAAATATATTTAGAGGAAAACCTAACAACAGAGATGAACAGCACTCTTACGTACTAGCGAAATTTAACGAATCACTCAGAAAACAAAAAACTTTATTTGACAGTTTGAAAGATTCCTGTACTACTGCCAAACATTTATTCCGAAAGTTAGAACATCAACCACAACGCGAAGGAACCTAGCTAAACACACATGGTTGCATATTAATTTCAAGCAGCAAGGAATACTTTGAAAAAGTGGATACTGCTAATACTAACAATTTGAAAAAATTGTGTTCAAAGTGTTATGTTTGGCTTTGGGGTATTTGATTTAGCCAGGTAAATTATGTTTTTAATTGACTTCGAAAAACGCCGAATCTAAAGTCCCTTGGGGGACTATGCAAGGAAAGATGTTGCAGTTTATAAAAATATTAAGCTCAAAATTGCTGGCTAGAAATGTGATTTGTGTATTTTCTAATTAATACAATACGAAATTTATGAACAAAAATATAATTATAATTAATTCAACAATTGGAAAATTCCAAAACCACAGAAAATGAAACATTAACTTTCAGAAAATAATCAGTTTAGCTGCAAGCACCTCATTTAAAGTATTTACTGTTTAAAGCACTGTCGCTGTCTTTTGCTATTAAACTAGCATTAGCTGCGAACATTTTGGCCACGTCTGGGGCTAAATAGTGCTGCTTCATCAAATGATTTTTCAACTTGTCTCTTCGAGTCATGACTACACAACATATTGCACATTGCAGGCCCATTCCGGAATGTAAGGACAAAAAATGACGTCTGGCTTTGTCGCTGTTTCGAAATGTCATTTGACACATTGGACAAATTCTGCGACCGTCGACCATTTTGCCGAATTTGGGGAAAGTGGGACCTGCTTTCGATTTATCTGGGGACAATTCGGGACTAATTTCTTCGCTTCCGAAACTGGGGCTGAATAGATTAATTGTGAGGTCTGGACATGAAAGGTCAAGGTTGGATCGGTCTAGGTAGTTGACAGCTAAGTTTAAAGGGGATGGTAACACAGGTTGTTTTCTGAGGTCGAGGATGTTTTCGTCCAAAACGTCTTCGCATGCTGAACTGCATTGATGTTTTGGAATCTACACAAGTAGAAAAAAGAATGATGCATTCTCAAAACATAATAACGATTTTTTTCAACTTTTTTACACATATCCGTAAACTAAAAGCATGAAAAAATCTCAGAAAATGACCTATCTCTGATAGAAAAACAAAGTGACCTGGTGATTTTCTCGTTTTGTAAGTTTCTGCAATCTTTTCTCAGCAATTCTTGTATTAAAATTAGTAACATCATTTTAATTAAAAGTATCCCAAAGGTGAGCTTACTTTTCGGGCGGGAGGGAGTGGTACAGATTGGGGCGATGATATCCTGGAGCATTGGGACCAGAAGCTATCCAGGCACCTCAAATCCAGGGCCTCTGCCTCCTCTTCTGGTTCCAATTTCACTTCCACCTCTTCGCGATTCTCTCTTTCTTCGACTCTTTGCCATTGCGATTCAAGCAGTTCCATTGCACTTCTGAAATAGACACAAAAACACATGTTCTAAATTGACGTGTCACATGTTTGAAGAAATTATTATGTGGTACATGATAATATAAATAATGGGTTCGACCTGAATATGGCATATTTTGCTTCTCTAAGATTTCCCCTTCTTAAATTTAGTGGCACATTTCACCCCTCAGACATTTCGCCCTACATTTAATATGGGATTTTGTGCGTAAGATGTTAGCGGCCAAATGAGTGTGTGTGGGCAAAATAAGCCACTAAACTTAAGAGGGGCGAAATAAACCGTTCTATTTGTGCCTGTTACCTCTTGAATTTTCCTGAAATTTCACTGACAATGCGCTGCTACAAGCCTTAAATGTGAACTTCAGAGTAGAAAAAAAATATAAAAAATAGTAGTGAAATCATTTATAATTACTCCATTAAAGTAAAAAAACAGGTGCAACAAATGAATCTCATAGGGGGTGCGGGAAGGCGAAACGCTAATTTTGGTAGGTTGGTAGCTTAAAGATTCGCTTCATGGCAATATACCATAAACTCAACGATAGAACCAGATTTTTTTAAGATTATGACTCAACTTATTTTTTCTTTCTAATAGTAAAAAAATCAGAGGCCTATGTTTAGCGGAGACTTAAAATTTTATTCTAAATACTCTTCATAATTCCTAAATAAGCGTTTGAACAAAAACTGATAGATTGGCCAGAACAAGCAGTTAGCGTGCAAGGCTGTCAAGATTTTAAGACGACTAGACTTGCTGTGTGACTTGATGATATTTTTTATTATACTTATACAAAAATTGAGTCCAAGACTTAAAATTGCGGCCAATGCTTAAAATTTTCAGTCTCCCCTTGACATTTTCTCAAATTCAATATACGAAAGTTCTTAACAGCAGTATAACATGTCAGCGTGAACAAGTGAAGAAATTTTTTCAACCTTTCTTTTATCCAAATTGACGAATGATAAATTTTTAATCAACTTTATGTTTTACTTTTGCACGAGGGGTGGGAAATTAGAAAAGAGCCACAAATGCGTCAAAAAAGTGACCTCTAACTCATAGGTATGGGATGAAAAAAGTGCACAAGTCAACTCCAAACTAAATCTCTCCAAATTAAACAGGGAGTACGGCGCTTTTCCAGTTTCCGACCCCCTCGTTCAGTCGTTAAACAAATTGGGCTCTTTTTCCTCCCCCCCCCCCACCTGCAATTTTTTACATGTAAATTTGTTGACGAGATTGTCCGATTGTTTTGAAAATTTACATACAGACTAATAAGGCCACGACAAACATATTTGGTCTTCATACTCAACCTCGTAAAACCACTCGTTACACTAATATATTGAAGCTCGTGTATGGGGGGGAAGGAAAAAGAGCCACAAATTGTCTCAATTTTGGGCTATTTTCTACCCCCACCCCACCTTTCAATTTCATTTTTCAAAAATTAATTTATCATTGACAGAATGCAATGAAAACTGATATGGTGAACAAATTTGAACAGATTTGTTCTTCATACCTTACATAGTAACATCATGCTTTAGCGAAGTGGGGGGGGGGGGGATTGGAAAAAAGTGGGCGATTGGAAGAGAGCCCAATTTTGTTTTTACGGCTCTTTTTCGTCCCCCCCCCCCCCACGAACATGAATTTTATGGTGTACCGGGTGGTTTTACAAGGTTAATTATGAAGACCAAAAATGTTTGTCATAACTTAATTAGTCCGTACGATAATTTTCATAACAATCGAATAAAGTGAACATAATTTTTACAAAAAAAAATTTGCAGGTGGGGGGGGGGGGGGGGAGGAAAAAGAGCCGTTTTTACAATTTGTATGCAAGAAAACAACAGACTCTTTTTCCTTTCCCCCCCCCCCCCCCACCTGCAAAATTTTACACGTGAAGTTTTGTTCACTTTATCTGAATGTTACGAAAATTGGCATGCGAACTAATTAAGCCACGACAAACATTTTTGATCTTCATAATTAACCTTGTAAAACCCCTCGTTACACCATAAAACCCTTATGTGAGGTGGGGGGGGGAAGGAAAAAGAGCCAAACAACAGATTTTTTTGGTTCTGAACAGATTGGCAAAATTGATTACGCGAAGGGTTATAGAACCTAGAACAGGTCCGAGATCAAGTTAATATCTAAAGACCAAGTTAAGCTTGGATGAGATTTGTTAAGCGATTCTGATTGGCTGAAAAATCAAACTTTAGACCCCCCCCCCCCCAATAGCTTGGAGAGTTTTAACTCGGTCCGACGACCGAAGATGAAGTAAGAGAATTGTGCCTTGTGCAAGGAAAGGAAAGCTTATAAAATTAAAAACTTCCTTTCAGGAAATTAATGTCCTCAAAAAAAACACAGAGTTGACAACAGCACGTGAGAAAATAGCACAAATTTTCATCATGTTTTATCCAAAATTGGTTTAGAAAATATGATCAATTAGTGTTATTATATTACCTTTTAAGTGTCGAGTTACAGGACCGCAGCATCTTTTCAAAATAAAAATATATGTAAATAATTTTTTTTCCAACCACACGTTTATCAGCTGGGCTCTGCAAATTCTTCAAGTGTGTAAAGTATCTCTAAAATACAATCCAATATCGTGTTATCGACTGGGCGTCCGGTCGTCTAGGAGATGCCTTCAGGTGTCAATGGTAAACAGACAGGTGGGGGAGGAATTATGGACAGTTTTCTGTCTTATTGGTTTGGAGGGGGACTATGGACGAGGACTAAAACGAAGGCAGAATATGAAGCCGAGCGCATGAACAGAATGAAGAAGGTGAGTTTTAACAATCACTGAAGTAATTTTTCGTAAGTACAGCTTTACGTACTTGAATAAGTTGATATTTGAAAAATGAAGTTATTGAACGCATTCATGTTCTAATTCTCAAATATAAAATTTTCTTTCACATAATATAAGGTTATAAGGTTGTAAACATCCATTTTATGAAGCTGGAAATGATTTAAGCGAAATTCAAAAACTGATGGTTACAATAGCCAAAATATATATTTGCTAAGATTCGACTTCTAGATTGTTTAAACTTCAGAGAATCGATTATGTTTGCTTCGAATGTACAAACAAATATCATAAATTGAAGGAAGTTAGAGGTCAAACTCAAAGGACAAGGTAAAGTTCAAGGTCATAAAGGAAGTTTTGCATCAAATTCGAAATGTGCAGCATCTATTCCAAACTAAAAACTACTTGATTTCAATTGGTCAATTTTTATGAAGGGTGTGAAATATTGAAAGATCAAACATAAGAAATTACAATGAGGACAAAATAGATCGATTCAAAATACAATAACGATTCAAAATAGATCCCAAACATAGACTTTCTTTCACGCAAAAGTAACCTGAAACTTGGAAGAGATGTAAGTTTCTAACTTTACGGCTTAAAATAGACAATTTGAAAGAAACAAAAGCTTTGAAAGTCAAAATGGTTTCACGTTTCACGTTTTGAAATTATTGCAACTGCAGTTTTCCAACCCCACCCCTTATTTTTCCGCTTTGTTGCGTTGTGCGTTTCGTTGCTCGTTAAACTTACGTGAAGAATTTAAACGTTTAAATGTGAAGTAAAATTGTCGTATATTTTTCAGTATCTCGTTTTGCTTTCGGGCGTTCAGAACACACAACAGCAGAAAGGGAGGAAAAGCGGCAATAACTATAGCATGGGTGGGTGCAATGGGAAAGTGAATTTAGAATTAGAGCGGGGAAAGGGGGAAGGGAAAACACAACAGGGGGTTTTATAATTCCCCGTTCGAGACTAGAGCTGTAAAATACTATTATAATATGCAGCTCCCATTTTGAGGCACATTTCGATTCGATTCCATTTCCCCATTTTGTAATGTAAAATACAGAGGGGCGGTTGGTTCACAAACCAATGTAGCTCTTCCAACAGTAGTATGCAGTAGTATTGTTGTATACGGTATAAATGAGCTGTGCTTGCTTGCTTGCTTGCTATATTGCTAAAGAGAGGGGGACTTTGTGTGTATTGTAAAAGGGGTTAGGGGGACGTATTAAAACAGAGGGGGACAAATATTGCTAGCAAAATACGACCACCGACTAGCAAATTTTGCTGAGATAACAAGAGCTACGTGCTACTATCACATACAGTGGCATTATCTTGTATAATAGTCGGTATGCGCGAATTCCTATTTGCAAATCCCATACACGAGGGGGGAGGGATTAAAATAGCATTGTGGTTGTTGGCAAAATTTAAGGCTTACTACAGCCACCAAATAATTCTAATGGGGGTGTGGATTTTCATCAAGCCCCACCCCTTTGTGTTATAAAACACAGTTGGAATTTCAGGCCATATTCTGTCGCGGCGTTCCCCCTTTTCGCTAACAAAGCTAAGCTACCAATAGCAATACGTTTAACACTGTTGAACATAACACCACACTTCAGTTTAATTTGAGCTAGCGAAATGGTTTACAAAATATGACGAAAGGGCACGTGAAAAACTTTAACACATCCGGTTTCAGTAAAAACGTCGCCGTAACACTTAAACCTAAACTGTCTAATTTTGAAGATAAGCTAAAATATAATCTGAAAACTAAGTGAACAAGTTATGGAAGCACCAAACTTCACAAGATTAGCTAACTTAATAGTTTGGCCCAATAGAGATCAATTTTAAAAAAATTAAAACAATTCTAACTAAATCATTTGTTTTAGCACTATCGAAAAATTTATTTTTGTTTTCTTTAGTTTGAAGCTTCAAAAAAAACAAATATCACTTGAATTTCGAAGCATTAATGGTCCTCATTTATATGAAACCACTTTTGGGGTGGAGGGGCTGGCAGATTTGAATTTAAAATGTGAAAAAATTCCACTCCTTCATTTAAAGAACCATTTCTGCTCTAGAAAGGTCAAAGTATTTTGACCATTATACCAGACTGTCATGAGATGATCATAAATTAATGCTTTAAATTATAATTTATGATCTCAGCTACGAATTAGTTGGGAGGGGTAGTATCTGCATACATGTATCAGAAATAGAAATGCATCCAGCAAAAATACACGGAAATGATAGCGAAGTAATGAGTTCGAACAAAAACAACAAATACACCCTACTTCGGTTCTTTTCAAATTCACCCTCTACTTTGCATATTTCCGTCTGAAAACAATTTCAGTTTTCATCATGGCTATGCGAGAGAGGCAGTAAAAATTGCATTCATGGTGATTGAAAAATTGTAGGGTCAGTAGGCTAAAAAACGAAGGCGTAAAATAATATCAAAATGAAACTTATCGAACGCTGAAGATGTCCAATTCCTGAAGGCGTCGAATTCTTCACACTATAAAAATTTACATATCTCTTTAGCAGGGAAGGCCCCTATCTCGGATGGCACTGAAACAAATGATATAAAAACTGCCGAAAAACCTAAAAACAATTTGACTTTTTGAAGGTAACAAAATAAATACTACTTCACGATCTTAATAGTACAGGATGGTTAAGCAATCACCGCAGAATGATCCAACGACAGTTAAAAATATTTTCAGAAAATGTTGAGGGATATGCCAACTGAAAATACATCAAGAACTTATTATTAAATAGACTGTTGTGAGCAAGTACAGCCGTGTTCTGACCATCGTAGTTACTGCTTAAAATTATAATAATTAAATTTTTTGTATAAAAAAACTTTTAAAGATTTCATCAAATTTTCTACAATTTTGATGGGCTGCAGTAATCACTTGAAAGTCAACATAAAATGGATGAAAAAAGATGAAGCAAAGTAAAATTTATGTTAAAGTCAGTTAGGGATAGAAAAAATTGACAAATCAGTCTGAAAGGCAAAAACTTTCGATTCAACTAGTTTACAAGCAAAATTTGAAGTATTTTGAATTATCTTTTCAACTACCGAATCAGTAGTGAAAAGGCTTTTGGATGATAAGGCTTTTGGATAAATTTAGCCGTCCGGAACTATCCTTGAAGTGGTGAAAACTTGCCTGAAAAAACTAAGATGTGTAAATTACATGCATATCTAAACAAAACTGCTCATATCACGGGCAACTCTGAATGTTACGACTGCTTTGTTAAGGTCTATGGGGGTATTGTTCTTTTAAAAAATAATAACTAAAAAAAACGAAAATGAAAAAACTCAACTGTCATCATCTCACGCTTGGTAAAGTACAACGTGATATAGTTCGCATATAGAAAAGTACTAAAAACACCACATAACATGCCTCAATTCAATTGGGAATTAAATTTTTTGAGAGACTTAATCTCCGCTCATGCCTAAATAACACGAAAAAAATCTTGCGTTTATTGTCCCAAATTGGCAATCTTTAAATTATCATAAAATTACGAAAATTGATCACAAGTCGAAACTTTATTTAAAAAATTTACCTGAAGAACAAAACACCCCGAGTAAAACATTCTGTCAACTTTTTCGATCGTTTTTGCAGTTGATCATGCAAAATTTTGTTGCTTTATTAAAACACTGACAATACTAATTTTTAAAACAGAAGTTTAAATGCTTTAGAGAAATTGATTAAATCATTAAGTAAATTTTCGCAGAGCCCTAGTTTGAGCCAACAAGAATGTTTATGAAAAATCATTGTTTGTCAAATTTTACTTTTACTTAACCTTTTTCACCTTCTTATAATCTTTACATTCTTTGAAATTTTATAATTATTGAGAAGCTTAAAAAATAACATTTCAAGCTTTCTAAAAAATTTGCCCCGAACGCTATGTCATTAACAAATTAGCTTGTTTCTCTTCTAAAAAAGCGTTGATAAAACCAATTGATTTGCCTTATTGGAAATTGGATTTACATGAGCATTTGAGTTTGCTGCTAACGCATTTCTTAGTTCAGAAAATCAGCTTTTAACATAGCTAATTGGCAATTTTCAAACATTAAAAACTTTACTTCAAGTAACCGCAGATAAAATATCTTTTTAGTTATTAGCTCAAGGCATTGATAAATTTCAGATAATAAAGAAAACAAATAGAGTCTTAGATAATAGTCGGTATGCGCGAATTGCTATTTGTAAATTCCGTACACGAGGGGGGGGGGGGTTAAAATAGCATTGTGATTCTTGACAAAATTCTAGGCTTACTACAGCCAACAAATAAATCTAATGGGGTTTAGGTTTTCATCAAGCCCCATCACTTTGTGTTATGAAAATAATTGCAATTTGAGCACTATTATTTGTGGTCGCGAAATTCGAAAAACAAGAACTGAAATTTTTTTCCACATTCAAGAAATTAGAAATTGAAATCGAAACCTAAAACCTGGCATTTATAATAATACACCTTATTTACAATTTGTGTGCTGAACATTTTAAAGTTCCAAGTTCTTTTTAAATAGATTTTAAAGTTCGGAGAGCATTAGTCCTTTTACAACTGGAAGCGCCTTTGGTCGTAAAAATGATGTTAATGCAAATCGTATGAAGTATATGAGTCTTGTACGAAAAACAAGAAAAATCCTCAACTTAGATTTAAGAAACATTTCTGCTCCAGTAAGCTCAATGCATTTTGAACACTACACAGACTGTTATGAGCTTATCATAAGTTAATGCATCAAATTTCAAATTATGATCTCAGCTATGCTTTAATTTGTTTGAGATGGTTTCTTCATACATTTATCAGAAATAGAACTGTATCCAGCAGAAAGTTAGGAAAATATTGAGTTTGAACAATAACAACACATACGCCCTATTTCCATTCTAATTAACCTTGCCCTTTACATGGCTATTATCCGTCTGAAAAAAAAATCAGTTTTTATCATGGCTATGAGAAAGGAACTACAATGTTGCGAAAAAAAATGAATCCAGAGAGGCAGTGAAAAATGCAGTCATGGTGGTTGTAGGATAAGAAGCAAAAAAGAATAAGTGAAAAAACTGAAATTTATCGGGCGCTGAAGATGTCATTTTCCTGAAAGCGTCGAGTCGTCACAATTAAAGAACTTACGTATATCTTTTTTCGGATCGCACATATAAAAATTGCGCAAAAACCTTAAACAATTTGACCTTTTGAAGATCAATACTAATTAACAATCTTAACAAAACCGGATTGCTGTGCAACAACCACAGAATTATCCAACGACAGTTTAAAAAAAGAGTTTCCAAAAATGTTGATGGAAAAGTCAAATTAAACTCCATCAAGAACTTATTATTAGAGTAGCCAGTTGTTAGCAAGTAGCGGCCATTGTTTTTACCAGCCACTCCATCTACTGCATAAAAAATTGATAATAAAAATTGTTAAAGAAAAAAGCTTTTTTTTCATTTAATCAAATTTTCTACGATGTTCATGGGCAGCAGAAGTGGCTTGAAATTGAGCCCAAAATGAAAGAAAAGAAATGAAAAGAAGTAAAACTTATTCAGAAATCAGTTAGGGATAGAAGAAAAATCTGTCTGAAAGAAAAAAATTTCAACTCATGATATTTGTTTGGCAAAACTTAAAACTTTTTGAATTTTCTTTTGAACTACCGAATCACTACTGAAAAAGATTTTACAAAAATATTTGAATGAAAGGCTTTCGGATGATTTTAGCCGTTCGGAACTGTCTTTGAACTAGTCAAAAAATGATTGAAAAAACTCAGATGTGTAAGTTTTATGCATTTTCAATAGCTTCACTAATCTGACTATCTATCTAAACAAGACTGCTTGTATCAAGAACAACACTGAATGTTCCGACTGCTTCTTGAAAATCTATAAGGTATTCTTCCCTTTAAAATTCGCAATAAATTGAAGTGATATATTTTGCGTATAGCAAAGTATTAAGAACAGCAAATAGCAAATTTGAAACGATTTGTTTGAGGGATTAAATCTCCGCTTACGCATTATTAGCACAAAAAAAACCGCGCATTTATTGTAAAAAAAGGCAATTTTTGAACTATAATAACTTTACGAAAAACGATCACAGGTAAAATATCTTTAATAGCTCGAGATCAAGACAACAAAAGCTTTCGAACGGTATTGACAACTCCTTCAATGCTAGTTGAAACAAAATTTTTCTTTTCGTAACATAACAAGCGCTTAGTTGTAAAAGTTCTGTATCAAATTCTCAATTTATTTTCAGTTTTTAGGTAAGCGAAGATAAAAAAAAACAGTAAATTGAAATCTGATAATTAATTCCCCAAAAAATTAAGATTTCTCAATCAACGCAAAATGCTCCTTCTTCGAAAACAAAAATAATGTTTTTCTTCTTATTTCTTACAGGGTACTCTCAACCTGGTTCTAGTGTCTGTGGTGGGGAAGGTGTGGCTAAGTGTGGTGCATGGGTGGGGGGACAGGTGGGGTCTGATGGTGGCCACGCCCACTATCATCCTCGCCATGTGCACCCTACTACAGCTGCAACACCTCAAGAGCAACAAAGTTGTCCTTAAGAACAAAGAATCCATCAATGACAGGTGAGCATGGAATTTGACGGTGAGTTTTAAGTGGTGTTGGTGGTGATGAGGATGGACGATAGAGAGGAGTAAGATCTTGGGATCTTTTTATTTTCTTTTCTCAACGCTTAAACAAAAGTATAAGAGAGTTGTGCATAGAGATTAAAGAGTTTTGGAATTGGATTAAAATAGTGGGCGAAATTTAGTTAGAATTGAATCAAGTTGATTGCATCAGTTGTAACTGTGAGAACACATGGGAGGCGATATAAAAAGAACTTAGGATAGTCTTAGGCAAAAAAAAATAAGCAAACAGATTCCTCAATGAGACAAAGAAAAAATTTTGAATCACAAAAAAAACGGGAAACATCATTTGGAATTCAGAAACGAAATTCCGGATTATACTCTTCTGAAAGTTTTGGCTCTTTAGTGGAGCTCAGAAGTGAAAATTGGACCCCAGAGGAATCTGCGGGAAACATGCAATAATTTTCAGTAAGCGATAAATTGAGAATAAGTAAGAGTCACAAATTTCGTCCTTAACATGGTATCCACAAGAATTTTGAGAAAGTCAGAGCAATTACAGTCCAATCCTCAGAAAAATTAACACATATGAAACGGAGCTTCGCACCATTTGCAATACAACACAATTATTTAAAAAAATACATGTCGAAAAATTAAAAAAAAAACAAAGTGAACAAAAATGAAGGACACCTAAAGCCCAGGTAAAGCTGGAAGCATGTGTTTCTTTTTTTAAATTAAGTTATACTGATGTTGGACGAAATAATTAATTTCAAAAGTTAGACTTTGCATACAAACCTTAGTTGTTTAGCAACTAAACTAAGTGAGAAGAGTGAAAATTTTTGAGATTTTGGAATTTTCCCAAAGACAAGAATTCTCTAATGAAAAATTAAGGAGTAGCCTAGAAGAACGTATGCGTAGCAAACGGTTAAACTAAGCTTCGAACAACCCATTGTGTCGATTAAACCTATGATATCAGATTTGGTAGGTTTGTTATCGACGCAAGTCCAAAAAACGGTCAACAAATACCAAAGTTGGCATTTCCGAGAGTCTTAGCTTTTTTTGTTAAAAAAAATTGGGCAAGCCGCTTATGCATAAGAGATTCGCCCAACCTGTGATTCCTTTTGAACCCAAAACCCCAGGTTCGGCAGGGTAGTTCAGAAAAAAACGGCAAAAAAAACAAACATTTCACTAGGTAAAAAGGTTTGGACGTAGCCGCTCATGAAGGGGAGATTTCAAATCCGTTCTATTCATTGAAGCAAACATCTCAGATTTGGTGGGTTATTTTTTGAAAAAACAATAAAAAATTGAAATTATTGATGACAAATTCCCCCACAGACTTTTTCGAAGGCTGTAGACAAAGGGATAGAACAAAAAGAGACCGCGGAAGTATGCACACACACAACGGTGTATTCGCTCTTTGTACCGACACCTCTTTTTTGAAAATCGGTAGAAGGTTTTTGAAACTAATACTTAAGCGAAAATTATAATTTTTCCAAAGCGTTTCAAAAATTAAAAAACCCAATCCCATACATTTTCATGAAACCTGTTTTTATCAAGCAAGAATTCTAGGCAGACAAGACAAGCAAATTTTCTTTACTTTTTGGCTAGCAAAAAAAAAGTATTTTTGACGACCAAACAATTATATTTTTCCGCTCTCTACTCATCAGACTTCTCGAGTACATCAACGTTATGTACTCTATAAATTCTAAATACAAAACCTCGAATTTTAGAAAAAAAAAATCAATCTTTTTAAATAGCATCAAAAACGATTCACCAATTTTGTTCGATTAGCATGCGTGTTTTGACAAGCTTTTTCTGAATTAACGAGCAATAAGATTTGACGAAATTATTTCCACTCAATTTCAAGTCGCAATGTCGATAAACCAGCTTAAAATCTATGCCTGTATAATCAAAACTCTATCAAGCTAATTGATACAAATGGTAATCAACAGCGAGCTAAAGAAATGGAAAACTAACAGTGAAAAAAGCGCCAAGAGAATCTTACGAGCGCTTATTTGTTCAGGTTGAGTCCAGCACTGGTGATGCTGGTGTTCCAAGTGATGTCGGACCTAATGTTGTTGGGAAGGACTGAACTCGCATCTCTCTCCTTCTTCGAAGGTACACTAGTCATCCTAATTCTCGCGGAAATTCAAAATCAGGGGTTGTCTTTACAACAAATACATCACTAGGCACCAAAAAAATTCATTTTGACAGTTTATTCAAACAAATAAGTTTACAGCCAAAAAAGCTTACAGCCTGTGAAAAATCTGGGATTCAAAGTAAGATTTGGTAATCAAGTTTTTTGAACTGTTCTAGATAATGTTGTCAAATGCAATACGCTAGATTTAGTATTGATCTAGTTTTTACCTGAATGTTGTGAGACTTTTGATCAAAGAGTATTGTTCAGGTACCGTAACCAGTAGAGGAGGCGTGGTCACCTACGACAGCTGGGTGTGTTCGGGCATATTGGTGGTGGCAGTCGCTTGTCACTTTGTCATCCATAGAGTATTAGAGGGCATCATCCAGACTTCTTCGTCACTGTGAGTAGCCAGTCTGTCCCCCACGAAATCTACAGATACAGTTTTATTGTACCCGTCACAGTTTTATCGTAAGCAAGCTCAACCCGTTTATTCGATTAAAAACAAAAAATCACCTAGTGAAAATACCAACAATCAGGCTTCTCAACTGGACTCTTTTGACATGCACATGTAAGTGTAAAATAAAACGAAGTGTTTGTCACTTAAATAGAGAAGGATGACTTTTTTTTAGCTCAAATTTGATTTTTCCCGTTTGAAGTTTAATTTTTTTCAAGTTCAATTCTTTTTCTTTGTTGAAAGGAAGGCATACTCCGCTATCCAACAGCAAACGTCTAAAGGTCACAAATGAATGACTTCAAATTTCAAAAATGAACTTTACTTTTCTGAATTCCTAGCAGAATAAAAAATACCTATTGATCCAGTTATTTCTAAATAGGATACTTCTACAAAAAAATCATTAACAGTAATTCACATTCAAAAAACTACAATGTGATAAAAAAAAAATTCAAAATTCGAATGTTGAAAAGTAATCGATTTTGCGATAATTTTATATAAAATGAATGATTTTAAGAGGACGTGCCTATCATAAACAATTCCTGATATTCAAAGAGAGTTAACGACAAAATTCGAAAGATGAAAATCATTTTTAAAAAACCAGTCGTTTGAAAACAAAAATTGCGATAGAACACTTCCATAGTTTTCGATTACAAGTTTGCATTTGCTAAAACTTGTTATTTTAGAAAAGAATTTATTAAGTTCTGCTTAGAGATTTGATGTTAATCTTTCAATCAATTTTTGGGACAACTTTATACAAAGTGAATGATTTTAGGAAAAAATGCCAATCATAAACACTTCAGAGCTTTAACGAAATTTGAAAAATCATTATAAACAGAGAGGCGATAGTAAAACAAAACAATCAAAAAAAGAAAACGTCAAAAACTAGATCTATCAAAATAAATAAGGCTAGTTTTGAAACAACACCATGCCGAGACAAAAGAATGTGAAACTTGCATTTGAAGATAATTTACCAAGCGGTAATAAATACTTTGGCAAAAGCCTTTAAGCCGAGAAAATCAACAAGATTTAAGACCTATGAAAGGTCCCCTCTCCCTCAAAACACTCAAAAAACTCTGATTTTCTCGTCGAATGAAACAATATGAAACAACTAAGCCGATATAAAATAGCCCGAAACCTAAGAAGCCCAAAAAAGGAAAACAAGAAAATTGAAAAAAAGTCAGACTATTAAATTAAGAATTAGAAATTATTAAGATGTTTAGCCTTTTGTTCAATCCATAGATGCATTAAAAACGTTTCCGTTGAAACAACTCAAAATTAGGTCAATAAGCCGATAATATATAGGCCGAAATCCTTTGGGCAGAAACAAAAAGTTTGAAATGAAAAACCAAAAAAAAGAAATATACACGACGTCAAGGTTAAAAAATTACAAAAAAAGAAGAGGTAAATCAGAACACAAAAAACAACTTAACTTTAAAAATTAAAATTCAAATAAGCAATTTAGTCGCATGATAAAAACAAAGCAGAAACTAAGCCAACTAAAAGTAAACCGAAAGCGACGAAGTCGAAAATTCAAAAAGTACCAGAGAAATATCATGCAAGAACTTTGAACTGCGAATTTATTCGAGTAACAATAATAAGGATACACAGCGAGAGTAATAGACCAATAAGCGCAAATATACGACGCACATACTGCATGCTTGTCGTGTACTGCTTGCATTGCATGCTGCAATCTGTGGACAAAGTTGTTTACGGAAAAACGTCTAGCAAGTGCAAAAATAAGTCGTTCGAATGCAAAAATTACGATAGATTTAGAACTCTTCCAAAGCATTTGATTATGTTTGCATTTGTTCAAACTTTTAACTTTAGAATAGATTTTAATAAATTAGGTAAAAAAATTAGCTTAAGATTACGGTAGTTTAGCCGTGTAAGTACATAGTTTAGCCTGTGCAAGTAATAGATAATCTTCGAACAATTTTAAAAAATTTAAAAACATTTCAACGATTCTCGAAATTAACCTGTATGATAACAAGACAGAGACAACGGCTAACGTGAGGAGCGTGAACATTGCTTTTAGAATGGTGTGGGTGAAGACAATGTTTTATTTCGAAAAGAAAAAAAACTGGTTGAGGAGGAGCGGTAAAGAGCCAAGTGCTTGACTTTTGTCCATTCTTAGTGTACATTTTTTGGACTTCATAAAAAAACACTTGAATGTTGAATGTGTTCAGAGGTGGTCCGGTGTGTGGGAACTGCAGGAAGAACCCCCCTCTGAGTGAGAAAGTAAGGGAGCATGTGGTAGTGATGGCGGGTCTGATGGGATACCTATACATACAGTACTGCTATTGCACGAGCGAGGGAGACACTCCAGGATAGAAACAATGAAACATGACCAGTCCATTAGAATTTTACAACCATAGCTATCGAGAATCCAAAAATATATGTATAATTTCCAGAACGGATTAGTTTTTGATTGACTTTTTTAGATTTTCTTCTGGCCGCCCACTTAAAAAAAAATAAAGAAAACTATGTTAGCAGCAAAAAAAAAACAATTACCGAGATTTCTACAGGAAACGTTTTTTTCTCACAATAAAATTATGTCGATGCATTCAAAATCACTTGAGCATTAAAATTTATAGCCGAGATATCTTCCGTTTAAAACAAGCAAAAAATTTACCCGAAATAGAATCATTTGAAGGCGGTCATGGGTGCTGCAGGATTGAAACACACGATTGTGATGGTGCTGGCATCTGTCACGTTCGAGTGGTCGGCTGCCAAAATGGTACACTTCTGTCTCAAGGTCAGACAATTAAGACTTCAGCTTCAAACATCACATTTTAGATCTGAAATATCACTTATTGAACCTATTTTATTTTGCTTATAAGGAACTGCTATAACACATAGTGAAAAGATTATCAAATGGGGTCAAAAACATGAAAAACTAATCGAATAATATGCTTTCCAAAAATGAATGAAGAATCAAAGTTTTTTGGCAATGTATAATTAGCATAATTAGTAGCAAAAAGTTCGGACAGACAGAATTAATTAAAATGAGCAATCAGTGCGTTTCGATGCTTATTTGCATGCAAAATCTGAAGCCGAACAACCTTGAATTTTTTGTCAGCCCAAATTCAAAATGCGAGATTGTCGATTATCCGATGATTATGCTAGCCTATTTTTATTAACGATCTCCTACCCTTTCTTGACGCTATGTTTATTTCAGTTTTAATTTCCGTTGATGTCTAGACAGTTGCTCTTTTTAATTAATTTTGTGTCCGAACTTATTGCAATTCCCTATACCATTAGGTAGAGATTTTCAAAAAGTTCGTACAGACAAAAATAATTTAAAAGAGCAACCTGCTCATTTTGAGCAATTTTTGCATGCAAGTTTGAATTTTTAGGTAACATTGAGACATACTTTGTGTCTGAAAAATAAACTTTCGCATGCAAAATTTGTCTGAAAAAGGTCAATTGCTCTTTTTTATTATTTTTGTGTCCGAACTTTTTGCTACTAATTATACTTTCTGTCTGAAAAATTTGTGTTTGCATGCAAAAATTGTCTGAAAAAGGCCATTTGCTCTTTTCAATCATTTTCGTCTGTCCGAACTTTTTGCTACAAATTATATAAATAACCTGACATCAATAATCGAAAGCTAAGAGGTATAAGCAGATAGCTAAGAGGTATAAGCAGGCTGCTTTTCCAATACAGAAGCATGAATTTGGTATGAACTTGCAAAGAAAATGATGAAAACAAGCCAACTGTCCTTCCAAATTAATTTCGCCGATTCGATTTCTTTCACCCATATAAGAAAAGCTTGTTTTAACACATTCATTGGACAAAGTCCTAAATTTCTGAAATTTTACTGACCTTGAAGATGAAACTAAACCAAAATAACTCTGAAGTTTCTCGCTAGCGTTTTTTTACCCTTGAAAAATTGAAATGCACATTGCTGGTAAATGAATCACAGTGCGAAGTTACGCGCTTGGAGTAACTCAAAAACTGCACTTCACTGGAAAATGCAATCGCTTCCTTCGCATTGCTCGTTAGTAGATTTAATTGCAATTTTGAAAACTCGGTTGCAATTTCAACACTATTTCGCTATCTCAAGGTCAGAAATATTTCTGAAACTTAACAGAAGCGGAGCTGCACTGTGCAAACACAAGCAAAAAAGAGCGCAAGTTAGACATAATAGACAAAATTGGTTTTCAAAAAGCTAATGACAAAAAAAAATATGAAAAAATTCTAATTTTTGCACCATACTTCTTAATTTTTTGTAGAAAACTTTATTTCCAAGAAAGCTCTAAGCTTCCACTACCAGTTTTTCCGTTTCAGTAAAATCAAAGTTTCTTAGTGTTATTTTCAAATTTCGACTGTTACACGATCGCTCGAATTACTCGAAACTAGACTAAAGCTCAAAAAAATCCAATCGGATTATCTCGACACAGACAATTTTTGAAACTTTTTTATGCCCTTCGAATCACGACTGAAAAGGTTTCAAAATGATTTATCACTCGACACTTTCCGATAATTATCTGTGGAAGCAGCAGAATTCGTGGTATGACACTACGCTCCGCTCGCTTGTTTAAATACTTTGCCAATTAAATTGGTTAAAAACTGAATAACCTGGAGAAATTTTGCGTGTAGCTGCCGTTTTAAGACAATATATGTCTCAGCATCGCTTGAAAAACCAAATTGCATAAAACATTTGATCAAATTTAGCATATTTTTTCTTTTTGATGTTGATTCTCTATGTTCGTACTTTTTAAAGTTCGTAAAGCTCATAATATTTGGTCTTTGTTTGCATTATTTAATTAGCACGCGGAGATGGTTCGAATCCAGGGCCGACAACTGGACAACTGTATGGCTCTGATGACCTTCTGTGCCTCCCACGTGACCCTATTCAGAGGCTACTTCCTCACCCCCTCCCAACCACAACACATACTCAATGACGTCATCAGATACATCCCCCAGCTGATGCTGTTTCTCAGGGCATTCAACCCACAGCCCCCAAAGGTCAGTCACTTTTAAAATACTTCGTGTCTTTTCGATTACACCCCCCACCCAACTGAGCCTGAATGACGCAACAAGCTGAGCACTCCTAAGAAGACTTGTGAACAAATCTAGCAAGTTTGTCTGTGTTTACCCTGCGTATTGATCCGACCATTGAAAATGGGGAGGAACTTTGTATTCGGGTGTATTGTAGTTTTTTCTTCTTTTTGTGTTTTCCACGCAAAACCAGGTACCACAAATAATCATCGGAATGGGTCGAGTGCTATATCATTATGAAGCCCTTTCAGTCGTGATTCGAACGCGATTAAAAAATTTTGAAATTTTTTTCACAGTGTCGAGAAGAAAAGGTTTGAAATTTTTGAGTTTTGGTCTAATTTCGAGCTAATAAGGTGACCAAGTAGGCCTACAATAACTTATTTAAGCTTAATTTAAGCCGTGAAAACTTAGTTTTTTAGCGCAACTTTGGAAACCAAAACTTGAAAATTCAAAAAATTTCTGCAAAAAATTTAAATTTTTTTTTGAAATTTTAAACTTTTTTTTTGTTTTTCTAGTAATTTTTCTTCAAAAACTGTTTTCCAATTGACATATTTTACTATGACTCTCAAATATGTCTAAGCCTATATACGCTGGTCGTTGAAAGAGCTCTTTTTAATGTTTAAGTGGTCTTGAACTATTTTTAAAGACGCCAAATCATCATCGTCAAAAATAAATTTAAACGTCAACTTCTTGTAGCCCAAAATGTTATAAGAGCTCTTTAGAGCTTAAAAACTTAATAGTTGTTGCTGCGCAATCTTCAATTGTGTTTTTTCTGCAAGTTTTCCCGAACTCTTTACGGTAGTGTATCAAAATTGACTTACGATGATAGTCGCTAATGTACAAGTATTTATATTATGTGAAATTCCCTTCGACAAAATTAATTAAAACGCCTCCCGAAAACACTTACAACTGCTCAGTTTCAAAAAAATGTCGAGACTGCACTTTTTGTGCACTTCTTGAGAAAATTAAGACTAAAAACTAAACCCCTCTCGAAAAATCCGTTACAATGGCATCCGATAACCTTCATCAGCTTTCCCCACTTGCCCTTGGCAATGACCTTGAATGTATTTGTTTCAGGTATCCACCTCCTGGTTCTCACCATGTGTAGTATGCGCCGGAAAATAAATATGAGCTACTGAATGGAACAATTTCAAGATGATATAGTAATACCATGTAAAAACCATCTGAAAATCAAAATGTTTATAAACTTGAAGCAAATAAAAACTGGAGAAGCACATTTATTTTCAGCACAAAAACGACGCTCATTTTTAGGACTCAAATGACAAATTACAACTACGTTGAACATATGTATTCTTTCGTCTTTTTTGAATTAAATATGCTTAGAAGGATTTCGTATTCGTGATAACAACTTATGAAAAGACGGAAATACGAAGAAAAAAAAATAAAACTCCAAATATCACATAGCTTCGGCTTTTTATTCCAGTCTGTAAAATTTTTCATGAAAACTTTTGATGTCACGCTTTCAGCCTATTAGGAAAATTAATATGATGACCAACAACAAAAACCGAACCCCAAACAAGATTAGTCTTCACATATAACCTCGTAAGACCAGTGTTTATCATCGGGTAGGATTGAGAGGGTTTGAGAGACAAATTATCAAGAAACCGCAGGTTACCATTATCTCACCAAAATCACAAAATAGTTCAAACAGATTTTCTTTCGCCTCTAAATGTCAATCAGAATGCTCACTTTGAGTTGCCATCTCACAGAACAATTTTGCAGTGTCCCGTTCTAGTTCGTGTTTGCTCATTAGATGCAATTGCAAGTTATCTTTTCTCGACACTTTCAAGCCGCAAATTTCACACGTGAAAAGTTTTCCAGAGTGCATGGATTCCAAATGCCGTTTCACGCTGGACCGACCTCTGAATAGCTTCGAACAGACGGGACATTCAAAGCGACCATCTGAACTTTTTCTAAAATCCAGAGCCACTTGAATTGAAGTAGAAAACGAAACTTCGCTGCCAATTAAATCGCTGCTTTGAAAGAAATGCTTTCCCAGAAACACCGGAGAATTCTTTCGTGTTTCGTTCCAAGGAATCCTAGATTCACTTCTTTTGGATGCCTAAATAAAAAAGAACTCAAAAAACAATCATGAAAGCAGAAAACATTACTAAAAACATGGCGTAGCTTGGAGCTAATTTCAGATTATAATTGATCAATTAACTAAACACGCGGAAGTTCTTCGTGTATCACTGAATCTACTCAAAAAAACTTGTGATCACGATCAACGAGCAAGATTTTTCAGTATCCCTGTGAGAGTTTCAGAAATAAAGACTTTGTTTCAGTAGGCAAACAAGAGTTTATAATTTTTCTGGGAAAGCATTTCTTGTATACAGTTCAATATTCAGTAGTTTTCTGAAGAAAGCTAATTGAGGACTCAATGTCCTAAACTTTTGGAGATGCGGGGCATTGATCCCCGTATTTCTGACATGCTAAGTGAGCGCTCTACACGTTGACCTACATCCCTGTTAGTTAACAATCTTGCGGAAGTTTTGTTCGCTTATTCAGCAACTATGAAGTTTTTCGTTCGCAGAAAATTTAATTGTAAAGAATTTCAATATGCAATAGGTTATCTGCAGATAGTGATTATCAATTAAGGAGTGACTCTTGTTTTGGAGATGCGGGGCATCAATCCTCGTAACTCTAGCATGCGAAGTGAGCGCTCGACCATTTGCGCTATATCCCCATGGTTCATCACTGTCACGGAAGCTTTTGTTTCAGTAGGCAAACAAGAGTTTATAATTTTTCTGGGAAAGTATTTCTTGTATATAGTTCAATATTCAGTAGTTTTCTGAAGAAAGCTAATTAATTACTCGATGACCTTAACTTTTGGAGATGCGGGTTATTGATTCCCGTAGTTATAGCATGCTAAATGAGCGCTCCAACATTTGACCTTTATCCCTGTTAGTTGAAAATCTCGCGGAAGTTTTGTTCGCTTTGTCAGCAACTTTGAAGTTTTTCGTTCGCAGAAAATTTAATTGTAAAGAATTTCAATATGGAATAGGGAATCTGCAGATAGTGATTACCATTTAAAGAGTGACTCTAATTTTGGAGATGTGGGGCATTGCTACCCGTACTTCTCGCATGCTAAGCGAGCGCTCTGCCAGTTGAGCTACATACCCAATACTTAAATATCTCGCGGAAGTTTTGTTCGCTTCGTCAGCAACTATGAAGTTTGTCTTTTTGTTCGCAGAAAACTTAATGGTAAGGAATTTCAATATGCGATAGATTATCTGCAGATAGTGATTATCATTTAAGGAGTGACTCTTGTTTTGGAGATGCTGGGCATCGATCCGCGTAACTCTCGCATGCAAAGTGAGCGCTCTACCATTTTCATCACTGTCGAGGAAGCTTTAATTTCAGTAGGCAAACAAGAGTTTACAATTTTTCTGGGAAGGTATTTCTTTTATACATTTCAATATTTAGTAGTTTTCTGAAGAAAGCTAATTAATTACTCAAGGTCCTTAACTTTAGGAGATGCGGGGTATTGATTCCCGTATTTCTGGCATGCTAAGCGAGCAATTTACCATTTGACCTACATCCCTGTTAGTTAACAATCTCGCGGAAGTTTTGTTCGCTTAGTCAGCAACTTTGAAGTTTTTCGTTCGCAGAAAATTTAATTGTAAAGAATTTCAATATGCGATAGATTATCTGCAGATAGTGATTATCATTTACGGAGTGACTCTTGTTTTGGAGATGCTGGGCATCGATCCGCGTAACTCTCGCATGCAAAGTGAGCGCTCTACCATTTTCATCACTGTCGAGGAAGCTTTAATTTCAGTAGGCAAACAAGAGTTTACAATTTTTCTGGGAAGGTATTTCTTTTATACATTTCAATATTTAGTAGTTTTCTGAAGAAAGCTAATTAATTACTCAAGGTCCTTAACTTTAGGAGATGCGGGGCTTTGATTCCCGTATTTCTGGCATGCTAAGTGAGCAATCTACCATTTGACCTACATCCCTGTTAGTTAACAATCTCGCGGAAGTTTTGTTCGCTTAGTCAGCAACTTTGAAGTTTTTCGTTCGCAGAAAATTTAATTGTAAAGAATTTCAATATGCGATAGATTATCTGCAGATAGTGATTATCATTTACGGAGTGACTCTTGTTTTGGAGATGCTGGGCATCGATCCGCGTAACTCTCGCATGCAAAGTGAGCGCTCTACCATTTTCATCACTGTCGAGGAAGCTTTAATTTCAGTAGGCAAACAAGAGTTTACAATTTTTCTGGGAAGGTATTTCTTTTATACATTTCAATATTTAGTAGTTTTCTGAAGAAAGCTAATTAATTACTCAAGGTCCTTAACTTTAGGAGATGCGGGGCTTTGATTCCCGTATTTCTGGCATGCTAAGTGAGCAATCTACCATTTGACCTACATCCCTGTTAGTTAACAATCTTGCGGAAGTTTTGTTCGCTTATTCAGCAACTATGAAGTTTTTCGTTCGCAGAAAATTTAATTGTAAAGAATTTCAATATGCAATAGGTTATCTGCAGATAGTGATTATCAATTAAGGAGTGACTCTTGTTTTGGAGATGCGGGGCATCAATCCTCGTAACTCTAGCATGCGAAGTGAGCGCTCGACCATTTGCGCTATATCCCCATGGTTCATCACTGTCACGGAAGCTTTTGTTTCGGTAGGCAAACAAGAGTTTATAATTTTTCTGGGAAAGTATTTCTTGTATATAGTTCAATATTCAGTAGTTTTCTGAAGAAAGCTAATTAATTACTCGATGACCTTAACTTTTGGAGATGCGGGTTATTGATTCCCGTAGTTATAGCATGCTAAATGAGCGCTCCAACATTTGACCTTTATCCCTGTTAGTTGAAAATCTCGCGGAAGTTTTGTTCGCTTAGTCAGCAACTTTGAAGTTTTTCGTTCGCAGAAAATTTAATTGTAAAGAATTTCAATATGGAATAGGGAATCTGCAGATAGTGATTACCATTTAAAGAGTGACTCTAATTTTGGAGATGTGGGGCATTGCTACCCGTACTTCTCGCATGCTAAGCGAGCGCTCTGCCAGTTGAGCTACATACCCAATACTTAAATATCTCGCGGAAGTTTTGTTCGCTTCGTCAGCAACTATGAAGTTTGTCTTTTTGTTCGCAGAAAACTTAATGGTAAGGAATTTCAATATGCGATAGATTATCTGCAGATAGTGATTATCATTTAAGGAGTGACTCTTGTTTTGGAGATGCTGGGCATCGATCCGCGTAACTCTCGCATGCAAAGTGAGCGCTCTACCATTTTCATCACTGTCGAGGAAGCTTTAATTTCAGTAGGCAAACAAGAGTTTACAATTTTTCTGGGAAGGTATTTCTTTTATACATTTCAATATTTAGTAGTTTTCTGAGGAAAGCTAATTAATTACTCAAGGTCCTTAACTTTAGGAGATGCGGGGTATTGATTCCCGTATTTCTGGCATGCTAAGTGAGCAATTTACCATTTGACCTACATCCCTGTTAGTTAACAATCTCGCGGAAGTTTTGTTCGCTTAGTCAGCAACTTTGAAGTTTTTCGTTCGCAGAAAATTTAATTGTAAAGAATTTCAATATGCGATAGATTATCTGCAGATAGTGATTATCATTTACGGAGTGACTCTTGTTTTGGAGATGCTGGGCATCGATCCGCGTAACTCTCGCATGCAAAGTGAGCGCTCTACCATTTTCATCACTGTCGAGGAAGCTTTAATTTCAGTAGGCAAACAAGAGTTTACAATTTTTCTGGGAAGGTATTTCTTTTATACATTTCAATATTTAGTAGTTTTCTGAAGAAAGCTAATTAATTACTCAAGGTCCTTAACTTTAGGAGATGCGGGGCTTTGATTCCCGTATTTCTGGCATGCTAAGTGAGCAATCTACCATTTGACCTACATCCCTGTTAGTTAACAATCTCGCGGAAGTTTTGTTCGCTTAGTCAGCAACTTTGAAGTTTTTCGTTCGCAGAAAATTTAATTGTAAAGAATTTCAATATGCAATAGAATATCTGCAGATAGTGATTATCATTTGAGGAGTGACTCTTGTTTTGGAGATGCGGGGAAGCGATCCCCGTAATACTCGCATGCAAAGTGAGCCCTCAACTCTAGTTTTGGGGATGCTGGGGCATCGATCCCCGTACATCTCGCACGCAATGCGAGGGCTCTACCATTTGAGCTAAATAGCTACATACCAATGGTGTAGAACTGTCGAGGAAGCTTTTGTTTCAATCGGCAAACAAGAGGTTATAAATTTTCTGGGAAGGTATTTCTTGCATAAGATTTCAATATTCAGTAGTTTTCTGAAGAAATTTAAATAATTGCTCGATGTACTTAACTTCGGAGATGCGGGGTATTGCTCCCCATACTTCTGGCTTGCTAAGTGGGCGCTCTACCATTTGACCTTCATATCTATTACCATCAAATCTCGCGGAAGTTTTTTTCGCTTAGTCAGCAACTATGAAGTTTTTCTTTTCGTTCGCAGAAAATCTACTCTTTAGGAATTTCAATATGCAATAGACTATCTGCAGTTAGTAATTACCATTTAAGGAGTTACTCTTGTATTTGTAGATGCGAGGCTTCGATCCCCGTACCACTCTACCATGAGCTTCAAACCCATGGTTTAGCACTGTCGAGGAAGCTTTTGTTTCAGTCAGGAAACAAGAGGTTATAATCTCTGGGAAGGTATTTATTGTACAAGACTTCAATATTCAGTAGTTTTCTGAAGAGAGTTAATTAATTGCTCAATGTCCCTAACTTCGGAGATGCGGGGTATTGCTCCTTATACTTCTGGCTTGCTAAGTGGGCGCTCTTCCATTTGACCTTCATACCTATTACCATCAAATCTCGCGGAAGTTTTTTTCGCTTAGTCAGCAACTATGAAAATTTTCTTTTCGTTCGCAGAAATTCTACTATTTAGGAATTTCAATATGCAATAGACTATCTGCAGTTAGTAATTACCATTTAAGGAGTTACTCATGTATTTGTAGATGCGGGGCTTCGATCCCCGTACCACTCTACCATTTGAGCTTCATACCCATGGTTCAGCACTGTCGAGGAAGCTTTTGTTTCAGTCGGCAAACAAGCGGTT